CAAGATGGAACCTTGCATAGCTGGTTGTTGGAAGCAAGTCCTATGTCCCAACCACACTCAAGGAGAAGGAGTTAAGTAAAGGTATGAATACCAGGAGGGTAGGGATCACTGGGGACACCTTAGGATTTGTCTGTCACAGGGATGTTTTGAGGAAGAGGATGAATTATTTAATTTGAAAGCTGGGCAGTTTGGAAATTTGCTCAAAATTAGTGTGTATAAACTACATCACTAAACTTCCATTTTTCATCCTTTTGCCCTCTGGTACATTAAAAAGGCAGAAGTGAATTTGAAACGTTACTTAGTGGAATCTAATGGAAAAGAGAGGTTAGCAAGGTTGAAAGAATAGTGAAATCAAAAAAGAGGATATTTACTCTTTCCCCCCATGGAGAAATGCAAAGAATATATTAAATTATGTCCATAATCCACTTGAAGATCTGTGGAAACAGTTTGTAACTAGGTTTCTACTCTACGTGCTTTATATAGTCAAGGGACTATGTTCATACTATCTGTAACTAAATCAGAAATCTTACTTTGCATGGAATGGATCATCCATTTTTCTTAGTCTGTCTTAATGTTCCAGTTTTGAGGCTTGGAAGGTATTTACCTTCAGTTTTCATCACATGGAATTAAAACCAGCATGCTTGGGTTATGGATTAAGCTTTAATATGGCTATGTCAGAATTCACAAAGGACTTAAACTAAGAAGGAGGATTGCATATGGTTCCAAGGTGGCTTATGGCTGAATTGATTGTTCCTACAATGTATAGTAAGGCAACCAACAATCAGAGATTTAAAGTCATATGGTAAACTTGAGTGACAATCATTTCTTTACTTTTTAAAATGACTGCCTTCAAATTCACCCTGAGGAAGGTTATAGCCCTGCAAGCAAATAGTGTTGTTGTTTTTTTTTTCTTTCTTCTTCTTCAGTGCTTAGGATTGAACTCAGGAACTCATGCATGCTAGGGAAGCATTCTATCATTGAGCTACATCCACAGCCCTGGAATACCTTTAAAAGGTCATTCTATTAACTGCTGTTTCATTTGTTTAGTAGGTCATCCATGTTTAGCATCAGGACAATCACAGTCCAGGTATTAATTTACTTTTTGGGCCATGGTCTGAGAAACAGTGCTTGGCATCTAAAAGATGCCCAGTAAATGCTAGTGTGACAGCTGTTAGTATTACTGTATTATTTACACATTCAGCTCGGTTTCTTCAACTTTCTGCAACTACGGTAACATAAGATGCTGAAATAAACAAGAAGAATGAAATACACATAAACCAGAAAGGTGGCTGATTTCTCAGAGATATGGCTTCACAGGGCTATTCCATGTGATTCCTGAGTAAGCCTCTTTCTATTCTAATTCCCCTGTATTCAAATTCTGCTTATTGGAGTGATTGATCACTTCCCACAGTGCCCTGGTTGTATTATCTTTCTACCTGCTCTCTTCTCCATTCCATAGAAGTCAGTTAATGTTTGATCCATGTGCCCACTCCAACTCGCTTCTTTCTTCTAAGAGTCATACTCAATTCTTTCACATTTACTCATTGATTAAATGAGAACATTGTGCCCAGGTAGAGGTTAGCATCTTTAGACTCTATGAGATACAGTCCCTGAGGCTGCTTTTGAATAATGAACACAATATTTTATTAGGAGGGCTCTCTGGGTCAAATAAAAAGACTTATGATTTAACAATTTTTATTTCTGTACTGAAATAGGGCATTAGGAAAGTTTTGTGAATTTATTCTTCAAATAGCGTTCCTCTATTCATTTTTTGATTTATTCTACTTAGCCCCAAGAAGTGTGGAGGAGACATTGATGTGTCTGTATTGTTCAGGAATTTGTTTTCTCAAAGTTTTCTGGTTTGGGTTTTAGGTACTTTATAGGATTTTCAGATACTTGCAAAGACAATTGCTAGTGACCCTGATGCCCCGAGGCGAGCTGTGCCTGGTTTAGAACAGTCCATCCTGCAAGGACAGTCCATCCTGCAGTTTGCTGTCCTACTGATTTCATGGAGGGATCTTTAACTGGATTCTCCCCCTCTTCAGGGTGGCTTTCTGCCTTTCCATTCTGATGTTTCACTCACGAATGACAACATCCACGTGGACTGACCTTTAAAGGTCAGAGGTAAATATTAGTAAAGCATTAAAAATGCTTATCTTCCAGCAACCTTGGTTTAGAGCTTCCTCCTTTCTACTGTTTTCCTTTTGTTCTTTGGTTGTGGTGCCATGAACATGAACTTGGGGGTAGGCTGGCATGCATTAAGGTCTTTGTTCAGCCTCCAATTGCAAAATAAGGTGAATGATAATATTGACCTCATGGAGTTGAGGTGAGAATTAAATTCTCTATTATGTGGAAGAGCTTGTCATAAATTTTACAAATATAGATAAATGGATTGCAATAACAAGTACTGAGTTTTGATATTTGTGTTCAGAATTGCCAAATGCTATGTCTTAGCCAAAATAGCCAGGAAGAATTTAAGATTAAGAAGTTACTAAACGGGCACCTCCCAGTCTTAGATGTTTCTATTATTGCTTCTCTCATCCTCTGTTGGTGTCTCTATTTTTCATGCATGCTATTCTTTCTTTTAGCTCCAACCAACTATATGTAAGTAGATTTAACAGAGCAGTACATTTTAATTATTAATTACTTCTGTTCTATAACCTTTAAGAAAAACAAAATAATGAAATATGTATTCTTGTCCCTTTAAAAACTCAAATAATGTACATTTTTAAAAAATTTATCAATTAATTCTTGAATTTTTGCCTCCAATCGATCAGTGATTTTCAGAAGGAAATCTATTCTTTCCATTTCTTTATACCTTTGTTACTAAAAAGTTAGCAGCAGTGCTACTAAAACAAATCTTTCCTTTTTATTTTAGAAAAGGGTTTAATTGAATTCTATGCTCAGTTTCCCGAAACCTACTAAAAAGTATCTAGTATAGATATGAATGTTCATAATTACAGAATAACAAATTATATAGCTTTAGGGACTTCATAAAAATACTGAAGAATGTGAAGCCATTCATCATGTGAAGAGTAGAATTTAGAAAATTTTAGGTACCTCAAATTCAGACTGGCAGTTATAAACTCTAGGACTTCTTTTGTTTGATTTTTTTTTTTTCCTTTTTACAACCCTGCTTCCTTCCCTAACCCGAACCCTAACCCTAACTAATTTATGCATGGGAAATGACAGTTTGGGTTTTTTTAGTAGCTAAGCAAAACCTCCTCAACTGTACCTACCTCTTCTTGTTCTAGTTCTGGGCTGATCACTTTTTTCATGCCTTTCTCTACCTCCCCAGAGTCCCTTCAGTTCAAGACCTGAGCCTTGACTGAGGACATTGTGTTTGTCCAGTGTTTTTTGATTGCAAATGACAGACCATGATCAAATTCCTTCATTTAAGAGAGGGTGCAGGTAGAAGAGAGCTTATTGAGAGAATGGCTGAGTGGCAAGAACAAAATGGAATCAGTATGCCCTTTCACATCCATCTTCACAAGGGGGCTACTGCTCACAAGCTCTTTCCCTCTATAACACTTGCATCTGCTTAGAAAGTCCACACTCTGTCCTTAGCACCTGTGCACTTATGTCCCTTCATCTGCTCAAATTGTATTCTTGTACCCCTTTCTAACCCTTCTGCTTGTTTACCTCCTGCTTATTATAGGACTGAGTTTAGATGTCCCATTATCACGGACATCTTCCTGACCACTCCTCACCCCATGTACATGGGGTGCATTTCTTTTATGTGTTTTTATAACATCCTGCGCATAGGGCCTATCTGAGCACTTATAAAACTTTATAGCAGTTACTTCTTTACTTGTGTGTTTCCCAACTGCATTGTGGACTTCTAGATGGTGGGAACTATGTCTGGTTCAGTCTTTCATTTTTTTATCCATGTTCTCATTCATAAACAGAGAAAAAGATTTGTTGAATGAATGAATGTAGGATCTTCATTCATTTTGGTGATATTACTTTGCTTTCTGGGCTGAACTTGGGGCAGTCCTACTTCTAAGGACGTTGATTGTGAAATCAGATTGCATGTGATTCTTTCCACAAAAAAACAGTAAACAAATATGATTATCGTTGTAAAAAAACATTTTATCTGTTATTGTTTTGGAAATAATCAGTTTTGTGTAGTATCTAACTGAAAATGACAATAAATTAAAATATATTTATAAAATATACAGTTAATGAGTAACCTGATTAACTCTGTAGTTGGTGTGAACAGAGTCTTGGAAGGAAGATCATTTTTTAAAAGTATTTTTTTGTTGTTAATGGATCTTTATTTATATGCAGTGCTGAGAATTGAACCTAGTGCCTCACACATGTTAGGCATGTGCTCTCCCACTGAGCTACAAACCCAGCTGGAAGGTCATTTTTAATGGTTTTGTTTCATCTCTCTTTTTTTTTTTTWAAAAAAATTGAGCTTGATCATTTTCTTAAGTAGTCTAACAACCTTTTAAGTAAGTTGGAAAAACTTAGTGATATTTGCAAACTTTTTCAATTTGCCATTCCTGCATAGGGATAATCATAATACTGCAGTCTTTAATTACTATTTAGCATTTTAATATAGTTGTTTCCATTTGTTCTGAGGTTGAAATAATGCTTGTTGTCTTGCCAAGGGCCCTGATTTTCAGGTCCCACACACACAAAAAGGAGCACCTTCCCCTTTTGACTGACAGTTTCAGTAACCAACTTTGATTAAACCCTTTAGGGGTTGTGAATCCATGGAAAGCAACCACAATAGTTTGGGGAGATAGAAATTTAAAAGCTGCTCTTTTTTCTTACATAAAGCTTTTTTTTCCAGCSATTTGTATAATTCAACACTGGGTTTTCTGACCTATGTAACGGTTCGCCATTTTAATGGGATTTTGGTATAGTTCTAAGAATTCTTGTAGTTAGAAACAAATTATTTCACCAGAAAGAAAAAAGAAAGAAGGGATTTGTTTTACCTACATATTCACAAATTCCTTTTCTCTCTCTCTCTCTCTCTTTTTTTCTTTCAGTGAGCATGTTTTTGAACACATTAACACCGAAGTTCTACGTGGCCCTGACTGGTACTTCTTCACTAATATCGGGGCTTATTTTGGTAAGTGGTGCAATCCTTCCCACTGAAAAATGTACCGATTACTAAAATATGGTAGTATGTGTACGAGAAAAAAATTTGGAAGAATATACAATAGCAGTTTGCAGTGATCATCTTGCATACTTGTAAATGCTCAGTGGGTGGTTATAGGATTTTTACTACCCAGGTTACATACTTTTGCGATATTTGAAATATGGTATTTGTGCAATCATATGTTAATTTTATTGAAAAGTTAAAACAAATGTAAATAAAATGGAAAATCAAGGAAGACACAAATCTATGTCAAACTCTAATGTTTAAGATATTATAAAATTAATGCTACTCAGTCCAATTAAAATTTTTTCCATCACCCTCATGAAAATGGATAATTGAACATAATCAACATCAGTAGAAATATAGCTCATAGCTCAGTTTCTTTAAATGCATTTAAATAAATTGTGTCAATTCTAAGCTTTTTTTGCCTTTCTCTTGTTTCTTTTTCTCTATCAAAATTTACATTTCTTTCTTTATTGCCTCCTTTTAAGAAATTTCCAAAAGACAAAAAGTAATATAACATTATGCATATCCTTTTGTTCCAAATAGTTGCAGGTGTGCAAAATTATATCTAATAGTTCATTTTAGTAACCTCAAATGTATATACCATCTAAACTTGGTGGAACTTCTCTAACATAATTGCTATTTAAGGAGAATGAAGTTTTATATAGAATTTTTTTCTTACACATAACCTTTATTGATTATTATAGAAACTGGCACAAGAAAAATACTACAGAGTCGATGTTGAGAAAAATGGACAAAAAAGAGGAAAACAAAAGTTTTCAAGCAGAAGGGTACAAAGATGTGGAGCAAAGAGCACAAATGGACCTAGAATAATGTGAGATTTCAGAAACTTTGAGCTTATGAGGAACCAGAGAAAAAAGTTGGAGACAGGGATACAGGGAAGAAAGCTCCAAGCAGATGGAAGATGGAAGGGAAGGTGTGTAGGAACATCTATTTGTGATGACAGCATATTAAGGCTCTCCTTGCTGTGTTTATCACATGCACTGCTGAACTCAGACATGAGATGTTTAGAGTTGATGTTATTGAGCCAGGAATGTGAAGAATATCAGCAAGAATCATTCAGTATAGATACATAAGTGAAAATACAAATAGAAAGCTCAGCACTGGCTGCAAAAACCAACCCAAGGTTAGGGGAGGTACCATAAAGCTTGAGACCCACTTGCTTCAGGTTCCTGATAGCTGGGATTACATGTGTGTGTCACCATATCTGGTTCTATTAGTCTTCTTAAGTAGACTGAGCAGAATTCAGACTTAGAAAATGTTTTCACATGCTTGGCAAATTCTTAGTAAGTATCTTCTGAAAATAAGGCAATCTTTTAGCATATCTAATTTTAGGGGGATGGGAGAGGTATTACAAGCTCCCATCGAGTAGTCATATTTTTTAAAAAAAAATTAATATTTTTTCCTAAAACATCTTAAAAAATATATTTTTTTTATTAAACAAATAGAAAACAAAGTGACCTTTTCTTGAATACAATTGTATACTGAAACCACTAACTCTTTCTGATGTGGTGAGGTAGGCTTTAGTTTGTGCTTCTTCTTCTTGGGATATTTAAGACCCTTGCCTTCTTGGGCTGACCTAAAGCACTTCCCAGGTGAACTCATTTACTCTTCCCAACACTACAGTCAGGTAAGTGCTAGCGTTGTTTCCATTTTATTTACAAGTTAGTTGAATGGTTAGAATAGGCAAGTTGGTACCTGCCTTAAGTCACACTAGCAACCTGTGCTTTTCTCACTGTCACTACTGGCTTTCTGGTTCTTTCCACTGTTTTTTCTAGCCTCCTGCACAAATGCAGGCCCAGCTTTTATTCTAGCAATATCATGGTTTGGTTTCATAGGTTCTAAATTAATTGTCACAATGTGGTATATTTTCTTTTCTTTTTTTTTAAATTTTTWAAAATTTTTTTTATTGTTGGTTGTTCAAAACATTACATAGTTCTTGATATATCATATTTCACATTTTGATTCAAGCGGGTTATGAACTCCCATTTTACCCCGTATACAGCTTGCAGAATCACATCAGTTACACTTCATTGCTTTACATATTGATATACTCTTGTCTGTTGTATTCTGCTGCCTTTCCTATCCTCTACTATCCCC